GGGTACCCATTTAAAATAAGAAAGTTACTGTCAATATCCACTATATTCGGAAGTGCCGCCATATTGAAAATATTTTTAATCGATAGATCTCGTTGTGAAACCGTAATGTGCATGTGTGTAAAAATCTCCGATCTAGATATTATAGTTTTCTAGAAACTTCTAATGCACGCTCAGTCTGGGACACCCTGTATATGCAACTAAGAGGGCTATGAGAAATATGTGTTTACAATTTTTAGTTTCATAAAAAAATAGCATAGTAATGTGAAAACCGCATCTTTGTACTTAGGCTCATAAACGAGAAACCCTGTAAAATACGCGAAAATGGGTCATCCTGTACATCAAGTACCACAAAATTTAATTTAATATAATTGGCGTTTTTATGTTCTTTACGCTTTTATGTTTATTTTTTTATTGTTGATTATATTAGTTATTCTGAAAATAAATCGTTTTATTTTAAGTGGTTTTATTCTCATCTGTACCTACAATAAATTAATAATATGATACTCAATAAGAAAATCGCTTAATTATTGGTAATACAAGAAAATTAATACTAACATTTAAAAAAAGGTACTCAAATTGAATTCTGGTTGTCTTGACTTGAGGTTAATTAAATTGATTTAAATCATTTTACTGACTTAACTTACAGATCATTAAGATTTAAATCGAAAATATAGACTTAAGTCATAAAAACTACTTAGATAACATTATGTTGATTTAAGTCTTTACAAAAATGACTTGACTTGAAATAAAAGACTTAATACTTAAATCATTCGAACTTTATGCTGAATTTGAATTAAGATTTAAATCATTTTGATTTTAGATATTACTTAAGACTTAAGTTTTTTTTTTAAACTGACTTGATGAAGCTCTGCCCTCAACGTTTGTCTTTCCGCGCAAACGATTTAAACCAGTGTTGATGACCTACGCCCCTGGCGGATCCTATGCGGAATGCTATGAGAGTGGTTGGATACAGAATGACATTTTTACCAGATCTTTATTATAGAAGAAATTTTGTACGAACTGCACTTATAGACTCCAGCCACTTGGCTTCTATCAAACCTTTATCGGTATATTACTCAGATGTTTCAAAACAGTGGTTAAGAACAAACCTACAAACCTTGGGCGAATCAGAACACAATTTCAAATTGCATAATTGATAGGAAAAGCATTTCAAAAGGCAGCTACTACATCTACGGCACACAATGCCTTTCGAGCAACTGGAATATGGCCACTAGATTAAAAAGATTTCTTCAAGACCTCAAGAGAAACAGTCGCCCTCTGGTGAAGAAAACGATGCAGAGTGTTTGTACTGTCATTATTTGTATTCCGAACCAACCAAAGGCTGGATCCAGTTTTCCAAGTGCAAGCAATGGGCACATTGTTCTTGCTCTGGTGTAGAGAATGAAGCCGCTGATGTTGTTTTTGTTTGTGCACTGCGTATAAATTAATTCTTGTGGCATTGTTTATTTTACCTATTCTGTAATAGGTTAAAAATAATCTATATTTATATTAATTATTTTATTTTGTATAAAATTATTTTTCATCAAAATCTATCCAGACTCACAACCAGATTATTAATACATAAATTAAAATATGGTGAATAATTTATAAAAATCATCAAAAAACAATTGATATCCTGAAATATAAACTAGTAAGATATAAGTACATATTAGTTTTTTTCTTACTTGATTATAAGTATTATGGCGCGTTCTCACGACACGTGTACTTGCTAAGTCTTTTTTATAGGCCTACAGGGTCTGGCGGGAGTGCGGTGTAGTTCTTATAATAAATAACTTAGAAATTCTGTATAAATCCTTACGCGCCGTGTATATCCTGTATACCAATTACAATTGTTTGTCAAGTCGTGAGTCGTGAGAATGCGCCTTTACAATCAAAAATCGTTCATTCAATGTCCATGTTGACAAAATATAAAATAATTAGTTTGCTTTATTTTTTGTTCAATGAAGCACATTGAATATTATTCTTCATTTGAATACAGAATTAAATAAATAAACATTTTTTATATTTAAGGTAGTGGGAAATAATAATAATTTATTACCCTTCCAAAGAAAACCCACGCTTCGAACTGTGATGAATACCGCATGATAAGTCTGATGTCCCATGTCCTCAAAATATTTCTCAGAATAATTCACACCAGAATTTATAAAAGATGCGAATACCACCTAGACGAAACTCAATTTGGATTTCGCAGTGGCCTAGGTACTCGTGAGGCGTTATTCGGATTAAACGTTATCACTCAGCGTTGCTGAGACATGAATGTCAATGTAATCGCTTGTTTTATAGATTATAGAAAAGCCTTTGACTGCGTTAACCATCAAAAACTTATAGAAGTCCTCAAAACAACCGGAATAGATAGAGAAGAAATTCGATTGATTACAAATCTCTACTGGCAGCAAAACGCAGTGGTTAAAATTGAAGGAACATCGTCAGAAGAAATCACGATTAAACGATGTGTAAGACAGGGCTGTGTGCTGCCACCGCTCTTATTTAATATATATTCAGAGGCTATCTTCAAAGAAGCTCTAGAAGGAATCGAATGTGGAATTAAGATTAACGGGAAAGTGATCAATAATATCAGGTATGCCGACGATACAGTTGTGCTGGCCGAAAATGAACAAGATTTGCAGAGGCTAATGAATGAATTAGTTCGGCATAGTGAAAACTGCGGTCTCCTCATAAATACCACAAAAACGAAGGTTCTTGCATTCACCAAAACACCTGTGCAGATTCACCTGGATATCAACGGTGACCCAGTAGAGCAAGTGTCTTCATACAAGTATTTGGGGTGTATTGTAAATGATCAATGCGACCCGAAGAAAGAAATTAGAAGCCGCATAGAACAGGCTAGAAAAACATTTATAAATATGAGACAATTTTTCACAAGGTCAGATTTGAGTTTGGAGCTACGGGTACGCATGGTCAGATGCTAAATTTTTTCAGTTCTCCTGTACGGGTGTGAGAGTTGGACTCTTGACATATCGTTAGAAAAAAAACTAGATGCCTTCGAAATGTATATTTACCGCCGTATATTTAGAATATCATGGGTCCAAAGAGTTTCAAATGTGGAGGTTCTTAATCGAATGAGAAAACAGAAAGAACTCATGCTTGCCATCAAAGAAAGAAAAACACGCTACATAGGCCACATAATGAGGGGTAAAAAGTATGAACTTCTCAGATTAATAATTGAAGGCAAAGTCCAGGGCAAAAGATCTATCGGCAGACGCCATAATTCCTGGCTAAAGGACATTCGTAGATGGTTTGGTTGCACATCAATCGACATATTTCGTATGGCTGTATCTAGAATGACGTTAGCTATTTGGATCGCCAACCTTCGAAAGGAGACGGCGTCGTAAGAAGAAGAAGTGGGAAATTTTAAACTGTTTTACACAGATATCATTAGATTTTATTATTGCATCAGTTCGTTCTATTGAGATAGTGTTAAACCTAAATAAAAAGAGAAAAACGCCTAACGCACTCTTGTGGGTCATCAGAATGACTCTTTAAATTGATCATTTGAAAATATTAAAATAATTCTAGTTGTGTTAGCTTAAAGTATTACGTATAATATATGAGATAAAATTTTATATGGAGAAGCATCAAGTCGTTGGGTATATTTATGAATGAATGGATTCATTCAAAAGTTGGGCTGGGTCCGGATCGATATTATAGCCGCGTCGAAGCAGCAAGAATCTTGCAGAAGATCTCGTAAATAGTAGAATAATATGGTTTCCTCGAACTTTTTTGATTTTTTTAAAATGCAGATGTTATTTTATCCAATTAGTAAATGTTTATTGTACTTTTCAGCTTGTATACGACAATTTAATATGACATTAAATTTGAGTTTAATGCTGTAATATATTCTGTATATGCATATAATATCCTCGATTTTATTCTAAATTAAAAAAATATAGTATAATATATACCACATATCCCAATCAAACAAATCATAATAATTCATTGGATGATCGTCCCAAATATTATATGTATATATACGATACCTAATACCAAAAAAAAATATTTAATATATGTTTTACCGTAGACACAAGAAATATTATGAAAACTAGCTAGAATAATTAGGATACCGAAACAAACTAAAATAGCTAGGTTTATATTTACTGCAATATTCTGCAGGAACGCATAAATATTGTGATTTTTTTATTTTTTTCTTAGTTTTCCACAAGTTTCAAAAAAATAACAAAATATATATAACTAAACAATAAATAACTAAATCTAGAATCGAGATCAAGTTAATTAGCTTCGTTGTTCTTTTTGGTTTATACAACAGTATGCCATAAGGCAAAAAGTATTTGCTTCAGTGTAACTGATTTATATGTATTTAAATATAAATAAGGAAAATATGTATTCTTTATGGATACTAAAAATGGATTCATGTACATAAATTGTTACATGGAAAGGTAAAGGATAATATGTATACCAAAATAAATTAACTAGTCGATAGTGATTTAAAAAGATATGTTCCATAATGATTTTAGTTGATAGAATTATTATGTTATTTATAAAATCTTGCATAGAAAATATTATTACATTATAAATAAGGTAGGTAACTCAGTTTTTTTTTACTTTTGTTTATCGTAATAACTAAATGATAGGGTGAATTTTAAGATTAAGAGAATCGGCATAGACATTTTTATTTTATATATTCTTTTCTTATATATTTAGAAAAATATGGTATATTTATATATATTCTTAAATATTTCTCACTAACATTGTTCATCGATTAAAGTGTATCATAAGATAACTAGATTCACGGATATCAATTGAAAATAAAAGATGTTGCAATTAAATATAACTCTTTTGGGAATAATACAATTTATTTAAATGTCTAACATATATGTTTAATTTCTATAACTATGAAGTATTTTTTAATATACAAAAAATAATAATAAAAATAGTGTGCATTAGAATACTTGTTCATACTTTGTTCTGTATTATTCATACTTCACACAGTATATACTCACCATAAGCTAGACAGCTCACTAGAATCAGAAATAAGCTGGTAGTGGTTAACATATTTCAAAAACAGTCAAAACTACACTAGGGTGTGAAACCACCCCGTTATCTAAACTCTCCTCTTGTATCCTCTCATTTGTTGTTCCTACCGTAACGTACTTCTTTGGTCACCAAACACCTCCCACCTGCGGAGGAGGTAAGGTGGTTCCCGATGAAACAATCAAAGCGAATTTACATCCGAATAATTTTCGAACGATTGGACGTTTCCTTACTTCGGTATATTAGCGAGCGAGCCGGATATTTCTTTTTCTATTCGAGCTGGGTGGTATAAATTTTCGAGTATGGCGATCGATTTTTCTCGGAGTTAGCTTAACAAGGGCACGGGACGGCGCAGATATTTTCAGTGGGTTGATAAAACGACGAGATCGGCGGTCCAGGCGAGGATTCTGCGCCAAGACGACCCACGCAAATATATAATTAGTGCAGGAGTGGAGTCGAAGATATTTATTGGGGATGTAGTCGGCTATCGGTGTTGTAAAATCGGGAAACGGATATTATATACCGGGTAAACTGCTAATAAATATCGTCTAGTCAGATTTTTTTGTTTCAGATTTTAATTGAAATTTCTATTATCTTTTAAACAGATGCCCTATTGAAATATATTATCCCATCAAAAACATAGAATGTAAAAAATGCCAAGTCTCGCAACACAATACTTCCACTATAAAGAGTTCTGAGATCTCATGTAAAATCAAGTCAGTTTATTTTATTTAGTTTCTCTTTAAGCACATATATTCAACAATTTTGTTACAATTTGTTAGTATCAATATTAGTAACCTTTATTCCTGTAATAATAATAATGACTTGGTAAACGCCCGATTATATTATATTCTATACTAATTAATAAACTTTTTTTTCTTTATGTTAATTTTCATATTTTACTATAATTCACTAATTCCAAGGATCTTTTATTGAATTTTTTGCTACTGCATAAAACTACAAACGATTTTGAAGGTTTTTAGACCTTTGTTAAAACAATATTTTTTCTCTTTATTACATTGCGCACAATTGTTTACTTTTTCTGAGTAATTATTAGTACTACAAAAAAATTGAATTTACTACAATCAATTGCATCGTTTGTAGTTTAGGTACAAAGACATTATGTCAAAATATGTTAATTTCCAAATTTTACTATACTTCGCTAATTCCAAGAAATTTTCATTAATTTTTTTTGCTACAACATAAAACTACAAACGATTTTGAAGAGTTTTAGACATTTGTTAAAACAATATTTTTTCTCTTTATTACATTGCGCTCAATTGTTTACTTTTTCTGACTAATTATTAGTACTACAAAAAATAAAATTTACTACAATCAATTGCATCGTTTGTATTTTGTGTACAACTAAAGACATTATGATAAACTATGTTAACTTCTAAATTTTACTATAATTCACTAATTCTAAGAAACTTTCATTGGGTTTTTCGCTACTACGTAAAACTACAAACGGTTTTGAAGATTTCTGGACATTTGCTAAAACAATATTTTTTCTCTTTAGTACATTGCGCACAATTGTTTACTTTTTCTGACTAATTATTAGTACTCCAAAAAAATTGAATTTACTACAATCAGTTGAGGGTTAATTGCATCGTTTGTAGTTTGTGTACAACTAAAGACATTATGTCAAACTATGTTAATTTCCAAATTTTACTATAATTCACTAATTCCAAGAAACTTTCATTGAGTTTTTTTGCTGCTACATAAAATTACAAACGATTTTGAAGATTTTTAGACATTTGTTAAAACAATATTTTTTTCTTTATTACATTGCGCTCAATTGTTTACTTTTTCAGGATAATTATTAGTACTACAAAAAAATTGAATTTAGTACAATCAATTGCATCGTTTGTAGTTGATAATAAGCCAAAAAACAAAAAGTTTACTTTAAAGCGGGTTCCAACGTGACGGAGCTTAATATACTGGGTGTTCCATGTAAATTAACAAAAATGCTACTACTTTTCAAATGATCCGGCAACACTGTAACCTCGACTGTAAGTGTGCGAACACAGTGCAAGCAGGTTTGCCGCTTACTGGTAGTCAGCGCCAATCTGGGCACCTATTCTTGACATCGTTCGCAACTTTGCGTATACGCATCACGTGTATTGTTATAAACAGGGTATCCCAGAAATAAGTGCAAGTATTTTGGGGGTGGTAGATCTCGATTAGAGGTGGGAATTCTAGTTCCTTGGGAGGAACTACTTCCTTAGTTCTAGTTCCTCCAGAGGAATAGTTCCTTGAACTAGGTCCTTAGTTCACAATAGTTCCCGACTAACATTGACATCCTCGTTGCTTGCTAATGGATTTCGTTTTCAGTCAGAACTATTCACCCCCAGTTTACTATTCAACATTATACAGATCATTATAATTTTTATAATGTACGAAATATAAGAAGACGTGTAATTGCATATGTTAAAAACATATAGGTAAGTTTTATAGCAGATAAAAAAATTAAAGAAACTCAAATCAGAATTTAAAAACTATATCACAAATCAATTGGAGGAAATAATACGAAAAATTTACGAAAAAATGTATTTTCCTCACTTCAAGCTTTTTGTTTTTGTCTAACTTCGTTTTATAAGATATTTCTTAATTTTAGGGACATAAAGTGAAACATTGCCATAAAATATTTAAAAAATGTGGTAATTACGCCGCGCCGGCTGTGGCAATAGACAAGGCCGAATCCATCGTCGTCGCCTTGTATTATATCGCGAATCTGCCGACTGAATAGATTCCCGTGAACTAGTCTTTTAATAGTTCCTCTATGTCCGGATCCGATAACATACGGATGGCACTCCCCACGCTTGCCTAGCATCAATCACGCTGGCTGATCCATACGTAAACTAGTCTTTTATTTAGTTCCTCTTGTTCCTTTAAGTCCGGATCCGATAACATACGGCATACGGCTGGCACTCTCCACTCCTGCCTAGCATCGATCGCGCTGGCCCGATCCGTTCGTACGTAAACTAGTCTTGTATTTAGTTTAGTTCCTCTAAGAAGTGTCTAGCCCTAGCAGTCAACTATTACGCTTGACCAATCAGGTTGGTTAGCGTGGTTATTTGAAGGGTGTTAATACATTTGTGTTTGTCAAAAACTCTAACGTGATTGGTCGGGCTTAATAGTTGCCTGCTAGGGCTAGACACAAGTGTTCCTCTAGGTCCGGATCCGATAACGTACGGCTGGCTCTCCCCACTCCTGCCTACCATCGGGCTACGCGCGCTAACCGATCTGTCGCCGTCGCATATTATTCTATATCGGTCACAGTCTCGATCCCGGAACAGATTCTGAGGTACTGGTTCTTTGAGAAACCAGGAACTAGTTCCTTTCATTCCGGGGTCGGAATAGTTCATTGGAACTAGTTCGTTCACGAACTACACACCTCTAATCTCGATAAAAGAAACATATTTTCTCGTTTTTCAAATAAGTCCAAAATAACGGAGTTATTTTACTTTGAAAATTTGCAAAAAAAAATAATTTTTTGCTAAAATTTTGAGAACCACTGTATCTTTTCTGGATTTTCTTTCTTGTAACTTTAATCTACTACCTATGTTGACATATTATCAAGAAATAATTTTTTTTTAAACAAAAACTAAAAAAAATTCCAAAAAAATTTTCAAAAAATTCCGAATTTTCAAAAAAAAATATTTAGAAAAAACCTCATAGGCGTGTTTCTGGGGTTGAACTATACTACCAGTTAAGTTAAAATACTTGCACTTATTTCTGGGATACCCTGTATATGGTTACATAGTAGCGCCACGCCGCGCCGTATAACCTTGAAAAATTAAAGCGTGTTATCAAATCGGCTAGTTCACAGTGAAAGCAGGCAGGCACCGTCAACCAGCGTTCATCGGCGTTCTCGCTTTTACCGAAACGAAAATTTATTTATTTCTGCTTTTGCACGCGCCGACGGCGCACAGGGGTATTAGGAACTAAAAGTTGGCCAAAATTATGTTTTATGATTTTTTTGCTTTTTTGCTACTAATATTAATTATTAATTAGAGGAGAGGTTGCTAATATGGAACCCCATTTTGTTTTTCCTACACAATAATTTTTCCTCTACTCTGAAACCCTTTCCACCGATCAAATAGGGCCATTCTGTGTAAAATCAAGCAATTGGATGAGGATGCTAGAACAAGAAAGTAATTTGTATATTATAGACGATATTTGAGCGAGGATGGGTGTTAAATAGGGTAAAGATTATTTCCTTTAAGAATCTATTTAAATCAATGTTTTTTTTGGCAGTGGCAAATATTGGCAAGATTTTTGTACATATTCCAATACTGGAGACTTTAAGCATTGAACGGATACTAATTTCCATGCGGAATATTGCCGAATAGTCTTACACCTTATAAAAATGCCTCTGATTTTTTAAATATAAAACATTATAAAGAAATAGAATAGAAGGAAACGTTTCAAAATAAAAATATGGCATAAAACAGAACAGAGCAAACAAACAAAGCTGGCTCTGTATCCATCATGACAGTTATTATGAACAATTTGCAAAAAAAGCACTACAAACAATTCCACTACTTTTATAATCTTAGAAGTATTCAGAATACACTCAAGATAATTCATACTTTTAACTAAAATATATTATTTATTTGATAGTCAACTTACGACTTAAAAAAGCTAATAACTAATAAACGTGCTTACATTTAGTATTTATAGATTTATATTCAATTAAGATAAAAAATGAAAATAAAAAAAATATCACTTTTGGCCAGGTTTATAGACCAAATACACCTATGTGCGGCCCCGGTGAGGCGGGCGCGGCGTTTGAATATGGTTTGGTTAGGTTAGGTTAGTTAATCAGGTAAATTTCCTCTTAATTATCTACTTCCGAACCCTTCTCGCATCTCCGAAATAACCATATACAATACACGTGATGCATATACGCAAAGTTACGCATCTGTGTATTGTTATATGGCTTTAGGAGATGCGAGATGAAGAAACGATATTTGAAGATGCAGTGGTCAAGAATAGGTCCCCAGGACGGCGCTGGTTGCCAGAAAGCGAAACCTGCCTCCACTATGTTCCCCTTAGGGTACGAACATAGTGGAGGCAGGGTTTCTTCTGGCAACCAGCGCCGTCTCTGGGGACCTATTCTGACCACTCATCTCATACTTCGCTTATTTCTGCTCATAAAAAGCCATATAACAATACACAGATGCGTAACTTTGTGTATATGCATCACGTGTATTGTATATGGCTATTTCGAGAGATGCGAGAAGGATTCGGAAGTAGATAATTAAGAGGAAATTTATTCAAAACGCCGCGCCCAAACCTCGCCGGGGCCGCGCCATAAATCTATTGGGT